GTGAACCATTTCCTCCGGGCTGTTGATTTCCGTTATTCTGATCAGCCCCTTCACTGATCACTTGAACTGGTGTTGTTTCTTCAGTTCTCACGTCCTGATCGACACTATTCACATTGTCATGCCCTCTCTGGTTATTGTCTGGCGCCTTCACCGCTGGTTGACTCGCCGCTTGTCCTTTACCATGCGAAGTACCAGGTGGACCTGAAACAGCATCATCATTTGCCTCTCTCTGACTTTCCAACTGACGCTGTTTTTCTCTCTCACCATCACCACCAGGCGCAGGCCCTTGGGGTCTTTGCAGTGTTCCACTATCAGCACCTCCAGCACCTCCAGCACCTCCAGCAATTTTCGTATTAGGAGGACAGGGACCTTTAGTAGGAACACCAGTACCATCCTTGCAAGAGGTATCATCAGAGTCAGGATTAACAGTAGGAGGTGGTGGTGGTGGTGAGCCAGCAAAAGGACAAGGAGAACCATCATCAGAACCTTCAGAAGCTTTACTGCACGTACTTTCAGTCTTCGGAACAATGGTAGTGCAATCTTTCTTCTCAGCTAAATCTCCACAATTAGCAGGAGAAGTGTTAAGTTCAACACCGGTAGTTTTACACGAAGTGTCAGTATTATCTTGAGGACAAACGTTACCCTCACTACCAAGTCGTTGTGTTTGTTGTGCTTGTCGTGTTTCTTGACCAAGAGGATGAGAACCTTCAGGATCTGCAGAATCATCAGCCCCCACCACAAACACGCAGTGAAGACTGAGAATCAAAGCCAGAAGATACAATACACCTCGCATCATCATGGCCAATATAGCTCTTTCTTGTTTTCGTTATCTGAACCAGGCACCAAAAAAAAAAGGATAAATATAGAAAAAAACAGACATTAAGAGAAAACGATAATACAATGGAAAACACAAACACATATACACGAAAGAATGAGCACAACGACACAAATACTCAACCAAAATCAATATTCGAGTAGAGGTAACAATAATAAATCTATAAAAATTCACCTCACACAATACCCAAGAAAAACAAAGAAAAAACAAAAACAAAAACAAAGTAATAAAAGAAACAAGAGAATCATCAAACACAAAGAAAAGAATCCCATGGCTATGCTTGAGTTAAAATGCAACCATATATAAAAATGAGTAGCAATTATTTTTGTTTTCATCTGAAGAAAGCATATCATAATAACAGTGCAGGGCAAAGCACAAAACCACCGAGGCAAACCATAAGCAAACAAAAAGATATTACAATGTGCGCAACTTTCCAAATAAACACAGATGAAATATACTCCAACTATGGGTGTAAGTCTATATGTGTATATACGCAATTATAAATATAAATTCATTTGTTATTATTATTTTCTTTTTCCCACTGCAAAAAACAGTTCATCATCATCACAGTGCAAAGCCCAGGTGCACACAGAGAGAGAGTCTCCAAGAACACACACACACACACAATGGAGTAGCAATAATAATTATTATAGGATAA